CAAAAAGATTAAATTATGAAACGATAAAAAAATGTTGGAGATCGTGAATACTGAGAAGAGAATAAAGATACCGCGTTCGATGAAATGAAAACTGTGAAGGACTATCTGTCATGCATATTATATGGTTATTTTAGTTGCAGTTTTATTTACGTAACATCTACTGAAATTAATAAAAGAATAACAATAGTTCATTATCAAGAAATTGTAAATAATAGACAAATATTTTTTTATGACTTTCGACACTTGTCTTCTACTTGATTATATATTTTTTGTATATAAAAGGAGATGAAATATTATATATTAAAAAAATCATAAATATATAATTATATATATTTATATTTTGCCAAATAATTAATAAATTTTTTATCTTAAATATATATTAATTATTTAAATATCTTTGTCAAACAATATCGCCAGACTTGCGCGATTAATATGATATCTTTCAAATGGCGATATACAATCATCATTTCTTGTATAAAACAGTTACAACAAATAGAAATGTCGCAGCAAATTCTGCAAATAAATTCGGCTAGAGAAGAACTTTTTAGGTTTCACCATCATCGGCTGGTGTGAGTTGTCGAGACGAGCGCAAACTTTCAGTTTGAAAAAAGGACGAGCTTTCGGCGGATTCCTCTCGTCTTATCTTGCGAACGCAATTACGTTAATGCATCATCGACGTCAGCAGTGCCGTGGAGAAAACCGTCTGCGCAGAAAAATGGAGGAAAAAGAAGTGGAGCGAGAGAAACCAAGGGGTTGGAGGAGGACGAGGGGGGGCCTCCTTTCTCCGTCTTTCAGATGGCGTCTCCCGTCGTATCTGCCATCGAAGAGGCACGAAGAAGACGATGCTGCCGCGGGTCGGCGCAGAAGAGCCTGCGGTAAATTCAAGACCTATAAAACGTACAAACAGACGAACTTCTTTCCGAGAAGAAGCTACCGCGCCGCCATGAGCGTATCGCGGATCACTCGCTGCCAAATGCCAATTATCTTTACTCGCCGCTGGCAATTAAGATGTGCCGCGCTCGGACGACCGTTGAGAGAGAAGGGGTGATATCGGGACGAAAGGGCACATTACAATTTCGCCGAAATGGCGGCACGAGTTCCTAAGCCGCCGATAAGACGCCAATCAAAAGTCACGGAATATATCCATTATAATTCCTCGACACGCGTAATGGATAATGTATAATCAGCGAATAAATATAAACTATAATTTATGCCATAAAAAGATTTGAAATCTTTCGATGCTTCGAAAATTTTCGTAAGATTCGCATTTTCATAATGCATTATAACTTCATCGAAACGGCGGCATGAGTTCCTAAGATCTCAGTCAATAAGATGTCAATCAAGTCGCAAATGTACCTGCTATAATTCTTCGATACTCGTAATTGATAACGCATAATTAATGCTAAAGAATGAAAATATAAATTGTAATTCTTGTAAAAAGAAATATCTCGCGATACTTGCAAGTTTTTACGACGCATTATAATTTCATCAGAATGGTGGCACGAATTCCTAAGATGTCAATTAAAAGTCGCGAAATGCACCCGCTATAATAACGCATAACCAACGCTAAAAAATTAAACTATAATTTGTAGTATTGTAAAAGAATATCTCGCGGCGCTCGCGAGTTCTCGCGAGATTCATAACGCATCGAACTGCATTATTTAGAAGGGAATTGCGCGCCGTGCGGCGAAAGATGAAGATTCCTGGACGCGGACCCCTTTGGTCCTTACCGATAAGCTTGTATCGGCGCTCTGCTATGTACCTAGGTGCATGGTTTATCGTTATCTACCGCGTAATTACCATGGTAACGCAATGATAAACCGCTACTCGTGTTTGACTTGCTATTGACCGCGCGTCACAGTAAGCCGGGGCCCTTCTTCTCTATGGGTATGTGGCCTCATCTAGTTTCACACGTGGTGGGGCCCGTTTGTGTATCGAAAGGCCGGCCGATTAGATTGCCGGACGATCGCCAACTTCGCCTTACCCGCTCGTGGAAGAACAACGAGGAGATGTCATCATCAGCGACCGGAAAACGATCGCGCCGCGACCTCCCGTTGAATTTAATTGATAATTTCAGCGAGAATAAACGAACGAAACTTATCTCCGCGACTATTCAGGATGATTCTTAAAACGGCCTAATTACCGCGCTAATTAGAGCTATCGGCCGTAGTGTCGGCCGATAAGCTCTTCGATCCTCCTTTCTTTATCTATAAGTATATATATATATATATATATATATATATAATAAACATCGGAGACGCAAGAATCATCACGATCACGTAAATCTTTCTTACAAGATATCTCAATCCAGAAGCCACGAGACGCGGAACAACATTCATTAAATTTATTAAATGAAGTTTCGAAATAATAAAACTTCTTTGTATAAATCCGATTCTATTTATGCCAATGAAATATTTTTACGCGCGGATGATGACGCTTTTCCTTTTAATCATGAATAATTTTAAAAAAAAGGTGGTATCAATCATTCATGCAATATGTTGAAAAATCATTTCCTGACCTCTATTTCATTGTATGACGAATTTTTCGCCAGGATGTCAACGAAACTTACGATTAGCTGTAAAACTCAGCCGCGATCACAATGGCACACGCGTGCTGCGAGGCGAGATTTCGATGAATGGATAGATAGTAAAGAGGATATATAACTGGCCGATAAAACGTAGCACAATCTGGAACAGCTGTAAGGGTTTACAGCTCTTTATTCTGCGGGGTGCTGAATGCCCAAACTGTCGAAAATTTTATCGATATATTATCGTGCTCGCTCAAATATTTATTTATCGTACGAAATGTCATCGCACTCGATCGGTCCGAGATCGTAACTTTGTAAAAGGGAAATGTCCTTTATTCGAATGAAAGCTGAATATAGGATTAAGGGAAATATAAAGTATATAATATATAATATCGGAAATATATAATATTATAAAATTACCGATTAACATTTTTATCCAAATTTTATAAGAAACTGATATATTTTGCGATAAAAGAGATATTTTCTATAGCTAAATATGATATATATATTATGTCTATTTCATATTTAATGTTAATGATTTTTGTCTCGCGGAATTTCATATCATTTTTATTAGATAATATTTTATCTAAATTCCGATTAACTTAATTGGCAATTAACCTATCTGCAGTCTTTTATTAATATTGATAACATTTTTTGTTTGACATAAAAAGAGTAAATTGAAGACCATGAATATATATATAATACTTGAAATTTTGCTTTATGCAATTCTATTAATTAAATTAATCATTTCTATCAAGAGATTAACTTTAATCTTGATTTAATTTATTTTTGATCATTTTTTAATTTTAAAAATAAAAAAGATAAGATTAAATCATGAGATCAAATCTATATTAAAAAAAATATCCAAATGTTTGCGCTTTATAAAATTAATTTAAACTTTTCTATTTTTCTTAACAAAATTTTTAATATATTCTAAATCATCTTTTTGACACATTTACTAATAATATCGTTTCCTAAAACTCATTGTGAAAATATCATTGTGAAAGAGAGAAAGGAAGAAATGCAGATGCGTTCGTATTAAGATAGGAGTCGATTCCATGATTTCCAGGAACTAGCATCCGGAAGTAGTTGGATGTTAAAGAACGACCGCCTTCTAGTAAATCGATATATACATCTATATATGTGCGACGAAATTAAAATAGATAAAGCGTATAAATAGCGGCTCTTTCCGACACCCAGCTGCCGATGTACTTCAATGGGCGGTACTGTGGTTCTCCGCCACGATTGTTTCTCTCGCTACATCTTCTTCGTCCTGTTCATGGAATTCTATCGTGCCGAGGGGTCAGGAAAGCGCCGTTTCCGCCATTTATTCCATTTCGTTGCTCGCTCTCCCCGGCGCTTTATCGAATTCCCGATGACTGACAACGACGCGGGGAAAAAAAAATCAGACGGCCGTACGATGATACGGCGAGATAGAAGGGCTGACTCTCGTCAAGCTCATCGGACTCTTCTTTCGCCGAGAGACGACGAGGAGAAAAAAAAAGTCAGGCGAGTTGATCTAACCCGACGAAACCCATCGTGAGCGATCGCCGCGAGTTACCGACTTGTTTCCATCACGGAATCGTCCGCTCTAAATTTAGATCCAAACTTGGCGTAGCTTGGTTAGAAAAAGATTTAAAATTATAATACAAATAGAACAAAAAGGCGAAGAAAATGTATGTACGGGAAGAAATTCGAAAATGATGATTATTAATTCTCTAACGAATTAATAATAATTATAATAGTAGATTAAAAAGTATGCAAAAATGATTTCCAAATGGATCGTAATAGAATGACGGAAATCTCGGGTTTGTGAAATCTATAAAAAAGTGACGTTTGAGATTTCCTGCGACAGGTTTCCATCGAGTCATACATGTTGGAAATCCGCGTGAACCTCCTCCCTTTTTAATCTCCTAGACATGGATAAGTGGAATAAAGTCGCAACATTCCCACGTCCCTCGCCGGGTGGATTTCGATAAGCCCCCTGTTTGCTCGACCCAGAGAATAGTCGGTTCGCGGTTTTCGGGCCATTAAAAGTGGGAAGTAAAGGGCTCGACAAATATTTGAGACGCGTTGTTACCGCGTGTGACCTAGTCCGCGGATACTATTTCATTTCGCTATACGAGTATCGTTGCAAATATCATTTGAGAAGACGAGAGATAAGGCGCCATGTTGGCCTTGGTCACACGGTCCCGCAAATTCGGCTGGATCCGAATAGTAAAGTCTTATCTCGAGAAATTTAAGTTCCTCGAGAAATTATATTTAGATTAATCGAGAAAGGAAATTTTAAATAAATTTATGAACTTCACTAATTCGTCATAGTAGTAGAATATGTTGTAATTTAGAATAGAATATACTATAAAGCACAAATGTTTACTAATATATTTATAAAATTTTTAGAGAATAAATATAAAAATGGTGCACGATTTTTGGGAAATTAGGAACGCAAGAGATATTAAATAATGCGACAAATCTTAGTCTCTCTTGTTGCTTTATTTCTACAAATTAGCGTACATCGTACTTATAAATTACGATTTTAGTGCTCGCCTTTCAGTGTGCACAACTAGAGTGCCGAGATGTTAATCTACGCTTTCTATTAATTCTCGTAAAAATGCGATGAATAAATATCTAAGTACAAAAGCACGGCTGTGTCAGAAACTAGTAAGTGTTAATAATGTATAGTATATGTGATCTACGTGATTTAATATGGAGCTGTAAGCTCATTTACAATAGCTGCACGCTCGATATCAGGCCAATCGGTCCTCGATACATTCATTTCCGACAGATCGATTCGGTCATCGCAAACTCCGAGATATCGTTTAAATTCATTTTCATTGAGATGATTCGCGAAAGTTTATTGAAAACTTATCAATTTACGTTCGATATTCGATTCCAATCTAATGTTGAGAGAATCAATTGCGCCGATTGGAAAATCCTGTTTCAACCGTTTCACCATCGAATTTTGAATCGCGCGAATTCCGACTCCTGAAATACTCGGCCCGTTAAAACGGAAAGCGCCGAGTGCACATTTGTTGCCACCCTCGATCGTATTTCAGTCGTTTATTTGAATTTGACGGCCGATCGCCGTCTCGCGCGTACGTATATATTATTACATATGGAACGCGCCGTCGGACATCGTACATATATATATATATATATCGAGCGGCCGCCTGTTTGTTTGGCCTGAAATTCTGCGCTTTGGAATGGCCGGCTGTCATGGAATGATGTCATGGTGAGTATCGTGGCCGCGCCTCGTCCACGTAGTAGAGACTCTCAAGCCGGAGAATGGCCAATCCGCCATTTTCGCGTCGAGCAACGAGCACAATCGAGTAGCGCGCAATCTCGGATTGCAAGCAACAATGCTGTTAACAAATCGCGACGATTATATTTTACGATTAACATTCTATTAAAGCATTATGCAAAATTCAATTTTAATTTAAAGAAAATAATCTATATTTTCTCCGATGGCATCAAAATTTTATTCAAGAACATGCAATGGAATATAACAAAGTGTTAGCTTTAGATATCATAAAGGTAAAAGGATTACATAAAAAAAAAAATTCCAAACTAAGAATATAAATATTGAGAAAAGAAAGATGGGTGTGTAGGATTATTGTTTTTGTCTCAAAAAGAATAAAAAAATCTGGGCAAAGTGATTAATCAGCCAAGCCAAGTGATTTAATTCTGCCAGATTCTCTGACTTGAGTATCTCTAGCAGATTTGTACAACTATATAGTAAGTTGAAGCGCAATTTCTCTATGCGCTCTACACATATTTCCTCTTCGCATTCCTCATTTGAATTGGGAAGGCGAACCGGCAATAAATCCTACTTAATTCTTGTTTTTGAAATATTCACAATGTTACATAAAAATTATATTATATTCTTTACACTTTTCAACATATACTATCCGATGTAGCGAGCTCCTATTTGGCGTGTTTTAATCTAGACGGATGTTACGCGATATTTGCACGTAATTGATATCAAAATTGTACGGTTATTAGAGCGATAAGAACCGAACTTGTGGAAAGTGGTGACTTTGAAATTTATCGATGTTTCCTTTTCTTTCTATTTATCTTTCAAATTTACAATATTATCAAACAATATTATTAAAAGCGACATCGGTTGTCTTATCAAGAAAGAAGATTGCCGAAATAAATGGATGTTCGAAATGTCTGCATTACGCTAATTGCAAACTTTATCACACGAAGCTCGCGTTTCGTCGCGCATTTTGCGTACACAATTCTCTATCAAACTTGTATACGTTATTATTAATAAGGTGGATCTCTGTAATTAATTACGTTAATTACGTTGTATTTGGCTATCCCTTTCGGGCTTATTTATATAATGGAATCTAACACCACGACGATCGATCCGATCACAAGTTATTTATATAATCTGCACTCGCAACTAAAGTCGATGTAACAAAATAGCATCTCCATTTTCTTTCTTTATTTCACGCGACGCGTTTCGTACATATTTTTATCAGCGTCATTATCTACAGGATATTCCGTGGATCAACCAAAAAATATTTCGTAGATGAATTCTCCAAAGAACTCGACATTGATCTCCCTTCGATGTGATATTTTTAACAAACATTATTATGTTACTAAAAATAAAATCTTCTGCGTGAATAAATTGCAGAAACCGGATAAGTCTTTGATTCTCAATAACTTCAGTAAAATTTCAATAAATATATGTCTTTGATCTTTTTTAGTTTAATTTTATTAATTATCGTACTTAAATAAGAACTTTTGAGGTACATTTAGCGAAAATTTAAATTTGAAATGACGCTTTTCGAGTAAGAAATAGTGTCGAGTTCCGAAAATCAGTTTCTCGAATATTTCGCGGCAGTTCCGAAACGGATTACTAAGCGGAGTTTTTTTCTCTACTCGCTTTCGTAAAAATCGAACCGGCTTAACGATAGCGCGGCGTATTTTGACGCCGCGAAACGAGAAATGGTAGTCGTGTTTACCTCGCTTTGGTCTACATGTAATTCGGCCACGTTTCGATGCCAGATACATAGCGATGCGCATATTGTGCGTATGGCGTGGACACGTGCGGATGGCCCATCTGCGTACTCGCGTGCGAATGATGCGCGTTATGGGCGGATATGTACTGGACCGGCGGAAGGGGAGGCTGCAGCTCATGGTATCTGACCATCTCCTGAGTCCTGTCCTCCCATGAGGACACCTCCGCGATCGCCTGTTCCGAACAGTGGCGTTTGATCGGTCTCTCGATCTCCTCCTCGTATCTGGAAGCAAAGCAAAGTGTCTCGACATCCCTTAAGTCGTAACAAAAAAAAAACATAAGAAAAAAAAAGATTTCAACATTCCTTAAATCGTACAAAAAGAGGTAGAGAACTCTAATTTTTACAGGTACGTGCAAAATTATAAGTAAAAAATATCGTGATAACAAAAATCATCTGTCACTCTCTCTCTGTCACGTGATCTTTTTCATTTAGAACTCGGGACTCTTTCTATCGATGCTACTTTCAAGGTGCACTTTTCTACTCGAGGAAAGTTGAAATTTCATTGTGAAAAACGGGGGGGGGGTGTCTCTACCTGTTGAGTAACCATTGCGAGGCGGTGGTGACTTGCACGGGCGGATACTGATGTATCGGCGCGGTCTGGGGCGGTAAGTATTGGTCGAGCTCGTTGCTCTCGACCTCGCACTCCTGGAAGTTCACCGGGAGATTCAGACCGAGCCCGCCCAAAGTGCCGAGGCCGTTCAACTGGTTCTCCTCGCCGGGGAGGCCGTCTCCGACCTCGATGTACCGAAGATCGACCGCCGGTTGCTGATGCGGCGACTCGCTCGACGGCGTGCCGCTGACCATCTCCTGGTAGTACATCGTGTTGTTCTGCGGAAGCTGATTGCCCTGCGGATCAAGCGACTTCATTTCGTGGAACGAAATTTTTCAACGATTTCAACGATTAGCGCGATTAGTCGGAAACTCAAAGGATTTTCGCGCGCGCAAAATTTCAATAATTGAATTATGTTTACGAAAAGTCGAAGGATCGATCTCCTTTCGCTTAAATAAAATAATTGGCAATTTATTATTATTACTATTTTAATTGTTGTTAATTTTGCTAATTATTATATTAAATTGACAGAAAACGCACACGGAAAAATAATTTTGATAAAACTTTGGTTAAATATAAAAATGAAAATAATTTTGTTGGATTGTAAAAATAATTAGAATGCTTAATCATGATGATAATAATAGTGCAAAGAATTTTGATGTTAATGACCAATTTGAGTGTTCCAATTATTTTGATGGTTCAACAAAATTATGTTCAAATCTGCATCTGGCAAATCTTTAGACGCCTCAGGGAAATCATTCTTTTTATACGAGTATTGTTAATATAATTATCTAAATAATTTCTATTTTTATCAAATTAGAAATTCTTGGGTCAGAAAGCAATTGCAAGAGGCACACTGGATACCTGATTGATGTAGTGTTGTCCTCTGGGTGTCGTAGGGGGTGTCGGTGGTGAGAGACCCTGACTGGGTGTCGTGGGTGGCGAGGAACTCACGCCACTCTGCGGTGAATTAGGTCCTTGAATGCCTCTAGGACTCATGTCCTCCTGCTTTAACGACCTAGTGACACTGAACGTGACGTTGCTCTGATTCCTCGTGGGCGAACTCTCGCGACCGGAAGACGGTCCGTTCTGCTTCCGACGTCGGGGTTGATACTTGTAATCAGGGTGCTCGCGTTTGTGGATAACTCGCAGACGATCGGCCTCTTCGATGAAGGGTTTCTTATCGTTGTCAGACAAGAGCCTGTATAAAAATTTAAAAATCACGCTGAACGAACGAGACTTTATTTTTCTATCAGATATGCATATGAGTTCGACGATATTTCTCAGGCTTAATATTCTCAGTTTTTTTCCGCACCGCGTGAAATTTCCAAGTATTATAATTTTAAGAGAGTCATATCGCGGAGCAATTTCCGGGCTCGGGCGTGAAATCTGTCGTCGTCCCGACGTGATTCACGTCTCTCGCACTCGTGTCGTACGTATACATAGCGATCCCCTCGTCTCCCCTCGCGCCATTCGTGGCCGAGCGTCGTCTCTCCGGCATTAGAAGAGGCTCGAACGAGAGCGTTTCCATCGGCGTCTGATATACTCTCGAAGAGTCGAAATGGGGGGTCTGGTTAATGTTTCTGGACGCGTTAAGGCGCTCGCAACTTGGTCCGCCTCGCGTCCGGTTCGAGGGGCGCGCGGGGCTCGGTGCACGGTTACGGTCCTTAAATATTCTGTGTTTATATTCCCATTGGGACTCGTAAACCCCGCGGCCGATAAGGTTTTCCGGTGTAATAGAGAACATCCGAGAGAGATTTCGTGGGGATTTCCGTGATACTCCGCCAGACGATAGTTTATTCGATTCACACCTCTTACCCCTTAAACACGCTGCCATTGCAATTAATAATAATAATAAACTCATCTCGCATTTCGATACAGGATGATTTCAGATTCGCCATTCGTTTTCTCTCATCCGCTCATCTGAGATATCTCCTATCACTTAGGTCGATGTCCATTCGTTTTGATTTTGATAATTTTAATACTCAATTTTAATACTCTTTATATGAAAAAATAATATATTTTTGAATATAAATTGAAAATAAAATTGAATATAAATTATTATGGGTCGTTTGATGAAGCGTGTAAATACATCATCTGAAGTATTCGCAAGTTCGGGATTTAAATCCCACGGCGGGAGCTAAAGCTCTCGAGTTGAGTTGACACACGTTGAAGGCACGTATCTCGAGCTTAACCGATGGTGTTTTGTCACAGAGAGGAAGAAAGAGAGCGGTAGACAGACGGAGAGAGACGAAAAGAGAAAATCCATCTGGTCAATGGACTTGCCACGAGGTTTTTTTTTTTTGGCCAGTGGGTGCCGACGATAGCGAGCCGTCGCAGTCTCCCTTTTTCTTCGCCAGATGCAGCGCAGAGTCAGCCAATTTAGATCGCCAGTATCTCCACGAGGTTATTTGTACATACGTATCAGATGTTACCTCGTAAAATAAGAGGAGAAGGAGGAGGAGGAGGAGAGAAATTCACACGGCCGAAGGTCGCGCCAACTCAATCTCGATGAATCCTCATCGCGAGATTCTAATTGAATTATCATGCTTGTCATTTCGAACACAGTCGACAAATCGCGAAATTGTCCGACTTTCTCTCTTTTCTCTCTTCTCGATACTAAAAAGAAGACTATCGCAGCCCGATAATCACCCGATATGCTGAATATAAAAAAATTGCGAGACTAATGACAGCTTCATAGAAAGGCGGAGACGCGACGCACGATTTCGTGAACGTAATATCGGTTCAGATGACAATGAAGTCGAAATTTCCGTCGTGGTCGAAATGGCGAAATTTGCGTTTTTACTTAGAACCGATAACGACTACCGCAAGAGGCGAGAGCACAATGGCTATCGCGTTCGAAGGAAGTCCAACGTGTGGAGGAATCGTTCCTTCCGGGAGATAAGGGAGGATTTACCTGTTCTCGTCACGCGCTATTTGCAGGCGGGCCCGAGGTACGGAGGGGCAGGTTCGGAAAAATTCACCTGACGGGCACAAGGCGCCTATTGTGGTCCCCGGGGGCCCCTTTATCTCCGGCAGGAACCGGCCGGCAGCTGCGAGCACGCGCCAAGGATGAACCGGGGGATATCTGTTTTCCTTTTGTCGACAAACACATCGCGTTTGGAGTATCCGAATGGCGATACGTTTCGAGACGACGGAGGAGAGAGAGAGAGAGAGAGAGAGAGAGAGAGAGAGAGGGAGAGAGAGAGAGAGAAATCGAATGCGAGAAAAAGATTTATTTCCAGGCATCGGCACCTGGCCTCCTTATCAAGATTAACGTGAGACAAGTCGGCGTCGAAGTCCGCAAAGATGCGACTGACGCAGCTAAGATTGAAATTCCCGCGTCAAAAGAGACCATTCCATTATACCGCATCTTTAAATCATTCGTCCTATTCCGCGCTGTGTGAATGATAAAATTATGTAGATTATACCGTCGTCGTTATTTCGCCTCGACCATCAATCATTATCTCGTGTCTTCGTGATGCTTTAGTTCCACATATTTTTATATCTTTCTTATTAATTTCATATTTCTTATCTTCTTATCGATTGCGTATGAAGTCGCAAACATCATTATAATTCAAGTGTAACGATATCTCCTTTATCCACTTGTCATTTCGTGAATCACCACGCCATCGATATTGCGATCTGTACATACGCCGATCCTCGCAAGTACGATCCTCGTTGGTCTTCGACGATTTATCGATCTCATCGATTCCGGCCGCATAGTGCGATCGTTCTAGTACCGCGTGTTCATTACCGAAGATGACTGTATCATTCGTTTCTGCGCGAAGGTGGATCAAAACGTCAGAGCGGCGCACGGCGATGTCTCTCAATCGACGAACGATCGCGTAAATCTTTTTCGCGAGACGAGAGAGAGGTCAATGACGACTTGGCTAGTTCATTCGGAGCCTTGGCACAGTCAGTCGAGGGTTTGGACGAGAACGTGTTAATTGCCATTAGGCCCATACCGAAAAGGTGCTAAATAATGACTTTTTAAAAGCCGAAAAAACCATAGGTCAATGTAACGTCCGAAGGACGACTTTTGTTTCTTCCGATTGTACAAGCGACTAGAATCGTATCAATTTTGGTAGCCGAGTCTTTAAATTTTGTCTATGATGTACTCCTTGTCTCTCTTACGTCATCTAGTCGTACGTGAGAGGATAACGGCTCACGTACGAATGATGAACGTCATTCGATTCCATCGACTCGCGTTACAAACCAATAGATCGCTAATGAGCCCCGATACGGCGTTAGGAAAAAATCGATTGATCTTTAATGCCGAACGGCGCCTTATCTTTCGGCGAAAGCTCCGCCGTGACAATCGCCGGGATATCGATCGTCGATCTTTGGCGAGCGATCGCGATCGCGGCCGGTGTTATTAAATGATTCGCGACGGGGGTCCTTGTCGGCGCGTCCTCTGATGATCGTTTATATGGCCCACTGGGGCACCTCGTTAGTCCCAACCAGGAAACGGAATCGTCCACGAGTCATTCCGGAGCCGGCGGTATACAGGGTGTATCAAAAGTCGCGCGTGTCGTTACGTGTACGTTTCGTTTGGAGTGCCTTGTTCCATTCCTCTCGATTTCTACTCTTACGCAACGCGACGGGAAAGGACATTTATTTTTGAAAAGTGAAGGATTTTCTACAAGAGCAAGATTGACGGGAAGTGACACGAGGGGGTTCGTGTCAGCTCGTAAAAGAGGACCGCCGACGTCACGCCGAAGTGTGTTCTCCGCTGTTACATGTGCGACCCGAGTTTCACGGGTCTCCAGAAGTAGGAACACTTGTACCATGTGCAACCTAGGCGCCACGTGGTATGGGCGTGTTTAATATATATATGTACGTGCCACTGACTCCAGAAGTTTAAAAAAAAAGGGAAAAAGAGACATTCGCGAATTCGCTCGGTAAAAATAGAACGAGTTACGTACGAACAAGTGGCCGCGGGAATTGGAACGCAGTGACTCCGAACTTTTGCCGCGTAATCTTCGTTCGACGACGTTGGAAATCTCTTTCTGGCCCAGCGATTTTGATTGAAATTGCACACGTCTTGTGTCTTACGCAAGTGAAATCGGAATACAATTCCGAAACAGTCGAAGCATTATTCTTGTTCTTTCTACGACTGATTTTTTTTCCACCGTGAGACCGAAAGAGAGAGACTGAAATTCTTTGAATTTTTATTAAGCCGATAGCGCAGTAAGTAAAATATAAATTATCAATTGAAGAATTTTGGCTCTTTATTACACATTATAATTGCATCAATATCAATTAATATTGATGCAAGTTACGATCATCGGTCTCGTTCAAAAAGTTGCTTGTTTCTTCCTGTGAATTCAACGCGCGGATTTAAAACCGTTGGGTCGACGATAAACGCACAGGTGGCTTCGAATCAATGGCAGCTGAAACGATCAGCAGCGCATTTCCATGCTTTCGGCTCGCAATCCGATTTTCTTCGAATGAGGCGAGCGTGAATAAAGATCAGCTAGCGCGATTCTCCCGCATGGCTGGCCGCCGCCTGGCGAGCTCGCATCTGTGAGAGAATCGGACTTATCAGATCGAGAGAACGGAGAAGCATCCGATTGAAGACACGTGGTGCCGATTAATTTTATCGAAACAGTGTCTTTCCGCCGGGCAGGGAGACCACTGAAACGTTATTCGTCGGCTGAATACTCGAGTGCGCACTTATATTTAATCCCCAAGTGCACAACTTTTATCACGGTTGAAATAAAGTCGAATAAAAGGGAGAATCAAAGCGTTTCTCTACATTTTATTTACGTAGATTTCGAACTAAATAATTTTAACAAAAATATTAAAAAAGAAGAACTGTACTTTAAATTCTATTGAAAAATTTTAGAAGAAAATATAACAGATTTTTAGATAATTGGTTAAATTTGCAGATTGTAACATTTAACACTTTTGTTGTGTTAATTTAGAAGAAATAAACGCCATGCTTCTCTTATGTCTTATTTGTCATGTTACTGATTTATGCTGCCGTGTTGCCTGACGTTTCAAAATATTGACGCAAACACAAAGAACGCACGACACTCACCGCCATAATTTTCCCAGCGTTTTCGACAGCTCGGCGTTGTGAAGCTGAGGATACTGATCGGCCAGTTTTCGCCTTGCAGCCTGGGCCCACACCATAAACGCGTTCATGGGCCTCTTGACGTGGGCCGCCCTTTTGTCGCCGGAGCCCCTGCAATTCGAAGACATTATCTTCATTGGAAACGATACACCTCTCTATAAATTTACGCAAATATACGCAAAATTCTAAACATGTTAGAGTCCGACAATTTTCATTATTATTACATTTGCAAGAAACTACTGCGTTTAATCTACCACTGCTATCAGTCGTATGTTCTGAATGATTCAATCCATCACAGAGCTCGTGAGATTCTTACGCAACATCGTCATTTTAACATCGTCGTAATGTCGAACTGCGTTCTTATTTTTTTGGAATGATTAACAAATGGTGCAAATGATGCAATGATTAACACGTTCAGAATTTTATGCGTTTAATTAACATCCGCAAAAAAAAATACTTCGATACCCAATTCCAACAAAATATTTTTATAGTATGAATTTGGTATATTTTAAATGTCGCTCAAACTTTCACGGAATCGCACGAATCTCTGTTGTCTTGCGACTTGAAAAAATACGTATAATGTCAAGATTTTTAGATTGTTTTTGACAGAAGCTAAATTCTGATAGAAATAAAAGCTAAATTTGACGGCAAGAAGGGTTCTCTCTCTCTCTCTC